ATAAAAGTAGAAGTGCCGACTGCCACTGAGTACAGAAGAAAGAAGTGAGGCCACCTCCCTGCTCAGCTACATGACTCCTCCTCTTGGACCTCAGCAGACTGCCTAAGAAAGGTATATTCTACAGACTATAAACCAGCAAAGCTCTGGATCCAGACATGCCAGCTATAGCCAAAGCCTGGGAAGAGACACTGGTGGAAGCAGTGGCTTTAATTAAAGTTTGCATACTGTATGGTAGGATTTCACAAACCCCTTTTCCTGATTGGCTCCCAGATTTCTGGAAGCTAGGCTTCTACCCAATACCTCAGATAGGAGATTAGAAAATCCTTCTCAAGGGAAACTGACCTATGAGAAAAGACCTAAAGAGTTGGACATTTGGGGTATTCTCCAGTGGAGGATCAGGTCCACATCATTCTGTAGAGTGGCCCATGGTGGACCAGTCCTACTCATGGCATACAGATCATCCAGTCAGGGGTTAGGTGCATCACTTTGGAAAGCCTTAAACTGTTATAGTGCTGAAACTGGATCTTTCTTTGTCACCAAACAGGCAACTTCATTGCTATTGAGACATCTTTGCAAACTTAGTATTTGAATTTCTTGACCTTCTAATCGCAAAAGCCCTAGTTCTTATTTCCTTAAACATTTTGGCCTCCTCCTTTACAAAGCTGACTCTCTTCTGTGTATTCATACCTTCACTCCTCATACAATCTCCCAAATGTCAGGGGTTTTTTGTTTTTATTCTGACATAGATTAAAACTTAGATCTACTTTGTGGGGGCTGACAGGGGTGATTCCCTATGTATGTTGCTTGGCTCTAATTTAGATATCTCATTGGTTATTTTTATTGTGTTGGTGTTTTTGTGTTACTTATGTTTTATGTCATTTTTCCCCACCTTACTCTGAATGCTCTGAACCTGATCCTGGTTTCCTGGGAATAAATAACAAGTGCTTTAAAGCTTTTTGTGCTCTTGCCAGATACCATTATCTAGAAATATGTTGGCATCTCATATAAACATATGTTTAGATTTCTATAACTAAATGTATCCTTATGTATGACTTATTATTATAACTGAATTCATCTATAAAGACATAAATTTATTTACAGGTGTGATCTATCATAAGCTTCTACATTTCTATTCAGTTGGTACATATGCCCAACAAAGAATGTGTCACTTGTACTTAGGAATAAAATCACATTATTTGTGAAGGCTTAATAGAGCTTAAATGAATGCAAGCAGTATTTACCTTATTAAGTAGGTATTTTCAACATTTATCATTTAACAGGCCCATGTTAAAGGGTGATGTTCTGAGACATTTCAAGGTGACCTCTAGCTCTACGAGCTAAAACAAATGAGAAAATGTGGTAAAGGCTGATACTTGTGGATGTTTTGTAAAGGAAAGCAATGTGGTGGAGTGGAAATGGCTAGATGTCTAAGGTCAGAGACCTCATAGGCTCAAGCTCCTCATTTATTGACTGTGTGATCTTGTGTGAGCCCCTCCATCTGGCTATGGGGCCTAGAAAAAAATGCATATTTGTGACCTCACAATTTTGTTAGGCTACTGTGTATGAAAGCATAACAGTAAATTGATATACTTAAACTGTTGTATATCCAAGTCCGTTTTATCACCCTGTTGCTTACAATGCCTTGGGCAAAGTACTCATTCAATAAATATTTGTTGGATAATAAACTAATAAATTAATTTGTGAGTCTGAGTTTTCAAAATATTTTTGTACCTCTCCAAGTCATATTTAGACATTTATAAAATTGAAAATTTATAAGTTGTTGCTGGATAATCAGATATCTTGATTCAGAGGTAAAAGATGACTATTCAGGTGTTCAAGCCTTTCTTGCATATGGAACACCAAATGGCACAGCTGATTATGAGAAATTGTCATCATCCTGCTCAAATATAAGATCATAGATTGGGGGAAACTTAGAGATAATCATCACCTTCTCAAATATGAGAAATTTGAAGCCCAGAAGCTCTTTGAAGTCAGTAACTTTATATGATTTTTCTCTTCTATAGCTCTAGGGATATTGTAGATAGTAGATAGTTGTACAACACATACTTTTTTTTAAAATGGTTTTCAAGGATTGTGTTAAGCACTGGGGAAATAAACAACAGCAAGACAAACCTTCCCCTTCGAGAAACTCACCATCTAGACAGATATGGAAAGCAGTTAAGTATGCTGTTGTTGTACTAATGCCGTGGTAGATTATAGGGGCAGAAGGGAACTGACCAAGGGAAGCTGGGGAGATAATTTTTACCTGGCATCTTAGCTTGGGCTCCTCAGAAGGAGGTGAGTTGACAAGTGATTTCTTAAGGAAGTGTTCCTGGGAAGACCTAAAAAGGGAGTGTAGAGAAAAGAATAAAGGGTCAGGAGAAGACCCACGCAAGGATGAGATTTCTGGCCGAGTTCCGTGGAGAGTAGTTTAGCCTGATGCTATGGGGTAACTCCAGAGAATTATTTATACTTCAGAGTTTTCCCCTGCTTCCAGGCAAAGGGATTGGACTTTCATAGTCTCACATTAGTTGGTCACTGGCTAAGGGACATGGTGAACAGGGTTGGGAAGAACTAATGGGCAGATTTGTTCCAGTAGCCAGAGAGTGGGCCTCTGTAGGTTGTTTCAGGTGTGGAACATTAGAAACAAAATGTTTGGAATCTGGATGAATCTGGATGAAACCTTAGCAGTGTCCACTTCACCTGAGGTTCATGAGGATGATGTGAGGTAGGAGGAAAGGACATTCCAGGCTAAGTGATAGCCTGAATAAAGGCTCTGAAGCATGACATCATAGGATGTGTTTAGAGGTGAGAAAGTAGTTGATGTGGCTATATTGCCTTATATCTAATAGAAGTAAGCTGAGAGATGAGCGTGGAAAGGTAGGATGGAGTCAGATTATGCATTTTTGTTTTTGTTGCTGTTTTGTTTTGTTATAATTTGGCAAGAAAAGGAGGTCTACTTGAGGTACTTCAAATACTAGATGGCTTATTATAGGGTTGCATGTACTCAGGATTCCAGGAAAGGTCTATCACTGGGAAGATGGGAAGAGGAGGCCTCAAGAAACTAGAACTCTAGAACAAGCAGTACTTAGGGGTCTTTGGCCTGGTGCTCAGTAGCTGCTTTTCTCTATCTTCACTTTCAATGCCTGCTTCCATTTCTATCTACCTGCCTTTCTCAGCATGTTTCTGGGTTCAGATTTCTAGGGTAAGCTGCACGGACAAGAAGATGCCCACTGATGGGCCACAGCAAAAAACTGTTGTCCAGTCTATGAATTCAGTTGCTGTCCTAGGTTCAGGTACACAGTAATGGTCCAACTGGCTATTCCCAAGGGAGGGAGCAGAGTCACATAATGATAAAGGTGTAAGGGAAGTTAAGGTTTATTGAACACTGTTTGAGCATTTTATATATATTGTTTTATTTAATTATCACATTTATTTAATCAATATTAATTTAATTCACTTTCATATTCACTTAATCAACCCATGAAGCTGTTCTATGATTATTTTCAGTTTGCAGAAGAGGAACGAAGTCCTAGAGGTTTGCATGGCTAGTATGTGGTGAACTTCCTTAGACAGAGCTGTCAACAAGGCAGGAGTCAGGGCTGGTGCATGCAGTCAATAGCCTTACCTCTTCATGAAGGAAAATGGAATGTATCTGATGGTAGCCATTCAGCCACATGTCTCTAAAGGTGGAATACAATCTTCGGTGTGACCTGGTATTAGGATTGGGGTGAAGAGTTGAAAGATTTCTAGTGTGAAAAAATATCCAGAGAAGATTATGTTTGTTTCATTCTTGCATAGTTTTCTCTACCAGCATCAGTTTCAACATATTCAACTATTTTGGGTGAGAAGCAAGAGTCTCTAGCAGCTGAGTAGAAAACTCAGGAAGTCCACAAACAGTAACAATGATATCCATGAACAAAGTCTCTGTTTTCAGAGAAGTGTCTCTGTGTGTTTCTGGGCTGCCCTGGCCGTGAGGGACATGATAGGCCAGATGCATGAAGGTGACAGTACCTGGGACTCCCTTCTTTGGTGAAATAAGAGATTTAATGGTCTTTGTAGGCATAGTAAGCCAGTTTTATCTTGGAAATCTGAAAACAGGGAAGTGAGTGATTATCTACTTCGGCTTCCTCTTACAAGGATGGAATTGAGCACTATTATTTCTTGTTAAGAGGGAGAACCACAGGGAAATAAGACTTTTCCCATGTACCCAGGCTTTAGCCATCTGGTGTACCATTAAAAGCACCAGAAAAAGACTTTTAGGGAGGAGGTGAGAACGGTAAATGTGGACCTATACTTGGCCTCTCATTGTGCTTCCTTGTCAGTGACTCAGTGCAGATCACTTTTCTGGCCAGAAACCAAAAGTCTCTCATCTGAGACCTGAGCCTGAGATGTGACTAGTTTAGTTGCTCATCATTAGACTTTATTTTTAACTCCATTACCAAAAAAATGGTAAGATACACTTATTGAAGAGAGGAACACTTAGAGAAACCCATTCTGAGAATAGAGGGAAGAGACTGCCAAAGTTTCCCATTGTTTCACCATCTCCTTTGGATGGAGTGGCAGTGGGCTGTCGGGAAAGAGCCTTGGAATGAAGTACGGACTCATCTCAGATGACTGTAACTCTGTGCCTCAATTTCCTTGTCCATAAAATGAAGTTTCTAAGCTCACTCTCCAACGTCCTCTTTCAGCCCTCATATCTATTTACAAATACAGAGGTGTAGCCAACACCATCTCCTGAAAGAAAAATTAGAGGTGTGTCAATTTCAATTTTGACTTTGGATGGTTATTGCACAAAGCTTAAAAATTAAAAAAAATTATATTGCTTTGTAACTTTCTAAAGGAGCTGTCACTGAACCCATCCCAGGGTTATAACCAGGCCCCCTTTTCAGGTCATACTAGTTCCAGCACCCTCCTTCCTTTCTCATAGAACATTCTAGTATGTACATGTATACATTTGTATACACATAGTACATAAAAGTCTGGTTGAAACATGGGATGCCATTTCTTATCTGAGGAGAAAAAGAATAATAAAAACTTATGGAGCTTGCAAAAGTCTTTTCAAGGTTCTTGTGGAGAACACTGTTCTAGAGTCTCTGGCTTCCTCCTGAGGCGTAATTGGAAACACAGTTGGCCTCTGTCTTCTGTTCACTGATCCTTTCCTCCACTCAGCCTCTGCCTAGCCAAAGGGCATGTGGTTCCTTCCTCCTGGTGGGGAGACAAGACAATTCAGGCAGATTAACATATGTCTTTATGTGACCTCCATTTTACCAGCCTTTTTCCTAAGATAGACATTTTCTTACACTTCTTGTCCTCATTATTCTGTTGACCTGTGGCTATTTCTCCTTTGTAATGTGCAAACCAGAGGGCTTTTGTTCTATTTTTCAGGGAGATGGGAAGGAAAGAGAAACAGTTGATTTGCCTGCTCCATGGTAAACCAAGGAGTAGGAAAATTCTGGGGCAGGGAAGGCAGTGCAAAGGCAGTGATTGAGTAGTCCAACCCCAAGTCTTGCAAGGGAACTGTCTTTGAGATATATCCAGCGTCTAGAATTGGTCCAGATAAGTATGTAGCACCAGGAGGCTTCCTTAGGAGTATTTAGCAATATGAACATCTTGCCCTCATTGTGAACATGACATGAGGAAAATTCTACCTCTAGTTCATTTTCTTCACATGGAAACACAAAGAAAGGAAGGTAATGAGGCAAATGATCACTGTCTTTTGCCATGGCTCTCCTCCTAGGGGTCTAAAATGCTCCTGGAATGGATCTGGAAGATGCAAATACTAACTTAAACACCCTTCTCACCTGTCACTCTAGGATTTTGTAAACTAGAGAACAAATCAGGGCTTCCTAGAAGGGTAGTATGTGTTCATGGGGACTTAAACACTGTTTTATGGAAAGTATATTTTACTGGTAATCACTCAGGATGAGGGAACAGAAGGCAAGCTAAGGGCAAAGCATAAGCTAACACCCCCACACCCCAGGTGGGATATATGTGCCATTCTTCAGGCCCTCCTGGCTGCTAGAGAACAAAGGAAAGAGAAAAATAAGTGGTTAACTGATAGAGATCACAGTCTAGCAGGACATGAGTCTCCATCAGTTTGCAACTGTCTTAATGATTTACAAGAAAAAAGCAATCTCCAGAAACCTATAGACCCAATCTCCTGGAACCTTAACATCACCCTCCCCGCCCCAGGATAGAAAATATTATAGAATCAGCCACTCCTCACAACCCCAGTGCAGCCCTTTCTGCTCATGAGTCCTGTCCCAGTGCTTTAATAAAACCACCTTTTTGCATGAAAGACATCTCAAGAATTCTTTCTTGGCTGTTGGCTCTGAACCCCAACACTTCAAACCACATCAACTAGTGTTTTCAGTTCTCTTTTTTCTGAAGATTGTGAACATGGAATATTGTTTCATAACTCCTTCTGGAGGCAAGTTCCCTTCTGACACAGTGAATGATGGAAGGGCCACAAGATCAGTATAGTTAGGTTCACTGAATTATCACATAGAAAACAACTCCCTGGAGAGTTACTCATACCCACCTTGAGGGACATATTAACTTTTCTTGCATTAAGCCCCTGAGATTTTGGCATTGTTTGTTACTGCAGCATAATTAACATATTCTGACCAATACACAGACTCTGTCTAAGACCATTTCTCAAACTTGTGTGTTCATCAAAACTACCCTAAGTGCTTTAAAACTGATCCTAGGGGCACCTGGGTAGCTCAGTGGTTGAGCGTCTTGCCTTCAACTCAGGTTATGACCTAGGGTCCTGGGACTGAGTCCCACATGAGGCTCCCTGCATGGAGCCTGCTTCTCCCTCTGCCTATGTGTCTGCCTCTCTCTGTGTGTCTCTCATGAATAAACAAACAAACGAAACCTCACCATAAAGCATCTGATCCAGTAGATTTGGGGGGGGGCAGGAATCTTCATTTAATTGTATGTTAAATTGTCCACAGAAATTCTGGTTTAGTCTGTGACTCTGCTGCTTCCTGAGGTCCACACATGGAGAAACACTTGAAGGCAGGTTGAAGAGGTTAATTTACATTGCTTGCTGTTGAGGTTGTATTTTTCTCTTACTCTGAAGGTCTCAATTACTTTCTCAGCCACTGGAAAAAGAGAAGACTGGGAGGTGGGTTTACTGGCAAAGGAACGCTTACATTAGTCCGTATCATGGATATGGGAGTGATGCCGGCTTCTTAAATTCATTCTGGGGATTCAAGGAGATAATTCAACAGGATGCATAAACCATGTAGTCCCTTGTCTGGAGCAAGCAAGATGGGTAATACACGTAGTTTCTTTAAAAAGGAAAAAGGAAAAATAAGTTTCAAGCAATTATGATTACCTTCGTCCTGCCAGCCATAGTGAGGCACAGGGAGCTGACCCGAGCCAGTTGTGCAGATGTTGCAGAGTGAAGTCGGGCAGGGCGCTGAGCCCTATGAGGGCAGAAATAGTCCAGGAACAGGGCTCTGTTGATAAGGGCTGTGGGAATTGTAGACTCAAAGTACTATGAGAGTTCAGAGAAGGAGAGATTTCAGTTTTCCTTGAATACTGACTTGATATGGCATGGTAAGGGTAATAGCTTCTAAGAATGACAGTCAGGAGTTTCTCACAAGGGCTAATGAATCACTCCATTTAGCTGTGACAACAGCAAGGCAAAGAAATATCTTCAAGGGCCCAGACGTTATTTTTCTGGCCCTGTCCCGGGGGTATAATGTGCTTAGAAGTTATGACAAATTAGCTGCTTGTAGCAAATCTACACGAGCCCTTTTATAAAGATGGAAGTTTAGGCCTGCGTTAATGGGTTATTATTGGCAAGGGAAATAAAGTTAGATGAAGAGGGTGGGCCCTGCCTAGGAAGGGCTTTGAGAAGCGGCCCAGGAGCTCAGCCCTGGCCCAGGAAGCCAGAGCATGAGCAACTGTTCCAAAGGCAGAGACCAAGCCTCTATGGGGTCATGGGTCATTGCTGCATGTCTGTGTCCCCACAGTCATTTTACACACAGAGGCTGAGGGCAAAGTCACTGGACTTCTGTACCGGGAAATGAAAAGGAAATAAAAGAGAAGTAATTAAGGAAACAAAATGGAACTGGAGATGTGAAGAGAATGCAGTGCTGTGGTATTTTTTTCAATCATGATATTTTCTCACCAGTATTGCTTTTCTAGGAGGGAGCATCCCCTAATTTCACACTGCTGTGTTTATGTTTCAATGTGCCCGAGTGACATTTGCGATGGCCAGCCTCTGGGTTCTCTCTGTGCTTTGGGAGGGAGAAGTGATCCCTGAAGTCAGGGCCCTCAGGAAGCCGAGCCTTGTTCTGGCAGAGATGCGTATCCCTATGTTCATTTATGTTTTATTACGACGTATGTGGAAACAGTGACCTGTGAACTATGCTGTTCCATAACATTAAAGAAATACAGGTACACACACACACACACACACATCTTAAATAAACGCAGTGTGCATAAATACTTTTTAAATGTAACAGTGAACTATTTGCATCTTATGCTAATACCTCTATTTACCTGCAAGTGGCATAAAGAATGAACCACTGAACCGCAGCATCCTGTGGAAAGCATATACATGGTATCTGATATTGCTCTTAGACATAATGGTAATTGATGTTAAATCACAAATACACAGTATTTAATTTTATTTATTTATTTTAAGATTTTATTTATCTGAGAGAGAAAGAGAGAGAGCATGAGCAGGGAGGAGGGGCAGAGGGAGAGGGAGAAGCAGAGTCCTCACCGAGCAGGGAGCTGGACGCTGGATCCTAGGACCCATGGATCATGACCTGAGCCAAAGAAAGATGCCTAACTGACTGAACAACCCATGCCTCTAAACAGTATTTCAAATAGAAAAGCACGCACACACACACACACAAAAGAACATACCTGGCCTTAAGTGACCTCAAGGCCTGAGCAATGTGTAGTCAGGATGCCTACCCATGGAGACTTCAGGAAAGCAAGCAGCCTGGCAGCAGAGTGGAATGAGGCCGTCTTCCAGACCCACAGTGGCCATTAGCCTTGCTGTAGTTCAAGGGGTCTTCACTCTAATCAGTCTGTTAATGGGACTCTGCTGCCTTCCCAGTGTTTGCTGTCATCTTTTTCTATCAGCTTCCTCCCTCAGGCTTCCTACCCCCTTATTGCTCTGCTCACTCAGGCTTCTCCTTCCTCATAACTGGGCTTCTTCATGGCCCACAATGGCCCTGCTTGTCTTACAACATGGCTTTTCAGCTTGGTTTCATATTGCAAACTGCCTGCTTACATCGGTTTCATTTATTTATTTTTTTCCAATTTTGCCTCCTAAAAGTAAACATTGGAAAGGACCAGCTCATTTTATTTTGCACCAAGCCATTTTACTTCTTCCTTTTTCCAGAACAGCTTTCTTGAGGTATAACTAAAATACAATGAACTGCAAATATTTAATGTGTATAATTTGATGAGTTCAGACATATGCAAACACCCATGAAACCATCACCACAATCAAAGTATGGGTCACTGGTGAGTCAGAGAATTGGTTTCTACGGATTATGTGCCATTGAATCATAGCCTAGGTCCTTGTGGGAGACTAGAGGGGGCTCAGGCCCAGGTGGTTAGTTCAGGGTTGTCTTTCAGCAGGGGCTGTGGCCGGACAGTCACTGCGAGTGGCAAGTTTTGTCAGGTTCTTTCACTTGTTAGTTCCCCTAGCCTCTGCTGGGTGGTGGCTTGGGGCGCCTAAAGCTCCAGGTACTGGGGTGGTGTGCACAGAAGACCTGGCATTCTTTCTGCCTGTCTGCTGTGGTCAGAGCATATGTCTGTCTTAGAGTCCACAGTGGTCCCCCTATACTAGGTCAGGGCACGACAGGTCAATGTAAGTGAGTCTCTCACTGAAAATGATAAAAGAGAAGTCAACATTTGTCTCTTGTAGGGCTCCCTCTGTTGCTCCCCTTCTAAGGAGTATGAGCCATATGTGGCGGGGGGGGGATGACTGCCCTCCCACTGGTGAGGTAAAGGGTTTGTAGCAGGCAGCATGCTTAGCAGCAAGGTTAAAACCCAAATCTGGTTAATTTCTTCCAGGAAAGGTATCATCAGACAGTTCTGGGAAGCTCCGAGATTTACTAGCAGGGTTTGGAAGCTGCATTACCAGGTATAACCTACTCGGTCATTGAAGACATCTCTCTTACTGTCATTGGGCACCAGGGCTCAGCTCCTCCTCCTGCAACCACAGTCCTGGTCTCTTGTGAAAATTGCAGCCACACTTGCTTCTGGAAAACCGGCATAGCCACCTACCAACCTTTGCCAGAATGAGCTCTCCGAGGCCCAGGATTTTTCCACTTTAAAATTGGGGGGTTGTCATCTGACAGTGGGTCCTAGGTTACATGTTCAGGCCTTAGTTGCAAGGAAGGCTAGCGATGCAACTTTTACCAGTGGTCTCTGCTTCTTAAGAGAGAAGATCCCCCAAATAGGGTTCAGATGCTGGACAGTAACATTTATGACAAATACATAAATGCTATGTATTTATCCCCTTGGGCCTTGTCCATTCTTAAGACAGGAGAGCAATGTGAGGAAAATTGTGCATTAAGTACTACATGTTTGTGTTCTCCCCCAATTCATATATGGGAATCCTACCCCCGGTGTGATGGTGTTTGGAGATGGGGCCTTTGTGAGGCAGTTAGGTCCTAAAGGTGGAGTCCTCGTGATGAGATTAGGGCCCTTATGAGAAGAGACACAATAGAGCTTGCTTCTCTCTGCTTTCCATGTGAGGATACAACCAGAAGATGAACACCTGAAGACCAGGAAAGGGCCCTTACCGAGAATGGAATCTGCCAGCACCTTGGACTCTCAGCCTCCAGACCCAGGAGAGAGCACTGTCTAATGGTTAAGTCCCCCAGTCTGTGATATCATGTTATAGCAGCTGGAGCTGACTAAACACAGCATTTGGGGGGAGTCTCTGGAATGGATTGCAGGAGAGAGATGGAACTGGAGGGCCTCCACGGGGAGCTGCATGGGAATGATGTGCAGAGCTCACACCCAGGGAGCGTGCTGACCTTGGCACAGTGTCTCACCAAGGGAAGAGAACTCTAGTCTAACACAGATAATTTCTAAGCCGTCTCAATTTTGTGTGTGGGTGTGTGTGTGGGGAGGGCAGGGGATAAGCTGAGATGGACAGACCAATAAGCACACAGACAGATGCTTCAGCTCCAGAGCCCAAGCCAGAGAGTCCATTCCACTACTAGGTTCCTTGCCAGCTGTGGAAACTTAGGTCAGCCCCAGACATGCCGCCTGGAAAAAGGGGATGATGAGAGCACCTACAGTGTGTGGCGAGGACTAGGAGGGTTCATGCACAAAGAACAGTTGGCTGAGTGGCTGGTCCAGAGCAGGTTGCCAATAAATGCTATATAATGATATTCTGACGTGAGGTCGAGAGGCTGGCCTATTTGGTAGGCATGGGAGGGAGGCCGGGAGGGCGAATGCAGGAGGGAATGTGAAAGGCAGCACAGACGGAGCATGGTGACAGATGGGGGGCAAGGGCACAGGGGAGAAGCGAGGGTCACAGAAGACTCCATAAATTATTGATAAATCATCTTTCTCATTTGGTTCTTGGCATTGGGTTATTCTGATTTGAGCTGGCATTTTTCAGATAAAATAACAGGGAGAGAACGATTGAGAATTTGATCTGATAGGATGAATGCATCACCCGAGATGTAAAAGAATGTCTGAGTGTGCACCCATAGGAAAGCAGGGGTGGGGGTAGGGAGGAGGGAGACTGGCGTGTCCCCCCTCCCCCTTCTTCTCCTGCTTCATAAGAGAAGACACTTGAAAACATAGGGGAAGGGGAAGATTTTACACCTGACTTTACCAGTCAGATAACCTGATCCTTACTCTGAACTCTTTGCTTTAAATCCACATTAGAAGGAGACAGGATATAAATTGCAAATAAATAAATAATCAGGTCAGCTCGTCCACCTTAGGAATTAGTTTCTTCCCCAGTGAATGGAGGTCAGATCTATTCTAAGGGAGTAAGAACTGGCCCCAGATTTGAGACTGACCTCCCTGAAAGGTCAGTCCCTGTACTGAGAGTCCCCGCTGTGTCATTCCCCGAGGAAGCCTCTGGATCCTGTGCATTCTAGTGTCACTTTACCAGGAGAGGTAATGGTTGCTAAAGCTTCCATCTAACAGGAGTGGATATGATTTTCCATTAGTGCCTAGTCTCACCTGACAGAAATGTAACTAGGGAATGAAAGATAGGATTTATAGATAATCTTAAGAAGCTTCAATTTATTTGATGCCTTGCTACCAAAAGCATAGCCCAGGAATCAGAAACATCGACATCCCTTGGGAGCTCAGTAGAAACGCAGAGCTTCGGGCCCCATGCCATCAGACCAACTAAATCAGAATCTGCATTTTAATAAGATCCCCAGGTAATTTGGGGGATCGCTGCATTTTGAAAGGCACTGGCTGAAGGCAGGAGGCGGGGATAGAGAGAGATCAGATTTGTGGAAGACAGAGGAGGCCCTGGGAAGGTGGGAGAAT